ATGTGCCTTACACCTTCCACTCATTTGGGGAATCGAACTCGGGATGTCGGTGTGACAAGCGAACACTTTAATCAGTAGCCTACAAAACCGACCCGAAAAACCTAGAAACGTATTCAGGACGAAATCGAGACGCACATAGCGATGTTGTGCGAGATTTGGAAGGTCAGACGAGATTTGGTCGGTCAGACAGATTTGGCAGGCGAGACAAGATCTGGTATCAAGACGAAGCACCACAATATTCAATACGGGAGAGAATCCTAGCCGATATTTGACTAGAAAATCTGGATTTAAAAATACATCGAAACATGAGTACGTACACGTATCAAGATGAATGTCAGTATATTAGGAGAATCCCATAATTCCCCGTAAACATGGAGAAACGAGATTTTTGTATTTGAGAGAAGCCCCATCTTGTCTGAACAACACGATGTAACGTCAACAAATATAACATCTTAAATAACTTCAAGTTTTCTCTCAGCAAGAGATAATACCGAAAGCTTCTGTGTCAATCTTTGTTCAGTATTGATTTCCGACACTTAATAAACTCGGGAAACTCTCACTGGAGACCATGAGCTGAGATAACGTGAATTCCAAATCCATTAAGACATTTCTGTTTGTACTGTAGTTACCAGACTAGCCCTGTTAAATTAGACACTTACATCAACTGAAGTCATCGCGAGGGCTCTATCTGCCTCCCTGGCATCGAGATATAAATACCTCGCAGTATGGCGACCGATGAAAGAGTAATAAGGTCGTCTTACATTTAATCACCTCGTTAATAACTAATTGCTGATTACCAAGAGTAATGACATGGATATTTAATGAGTATTTAGTGGAATATCGGTTTGATAGCGTACAGGCGAGTAGCTTTAAGGTTAAAGTGTTCTCTCGTCGTACCAAGGGCGGTGGTGTAGCCAAGTGGTTAAAGTGTTTGTTCTTTCTGAAGAATCCTGAGGTTTGATTCCTCACATGGGCACAATGTGTGAGGCTCGTTTCTAGAGTCCCCAGCAGTGAAATTGTTGGAACATCACTTAATCTATCTTAAAAATACACTCTCCCACTATCTCGCAACAATGCTTGCGCAAATTAGAAGTCGACGGCTGTAATTTTCAAACTGGTAGATCTAAATAAAAGCGAAACAACCCTTTGTATACTAATAACATAAGATTACACCAATTGTAACTTGTGAAGTGGTTTCCCTGCAGTACGCATTTCCACGTACGATACATTTAATTCTCTTTGACCATGGTTGCTCGATCCCGTTACTTGACCCGCTGATCGACCCGATGTACTCAACACTGTATGTACTTTGTAGAATAGATCTGTGGCCTCATAAGGACGCATACATAACAATCAATATTAACATAAAGTTCGATTCGTTCTCCAGTTTTGTGCTTAACGCCGCATCCAGTAATATTCCTGCTATATGGTGGTGGCCGGTAAATAATGGAGTCTGGACCAGACAACCCAGTGGTTGAAATCATGAGCACCGATCTAAGCAATTGGGACATGGTGATATGACCATGCGATGTCTTCGTTGCCTTTCACGACAAGCATGGAACAATTCTAACTGGGCCATAACAGATTGTGGAACCCGTCGCCTCCATTCTGAAGTAAACTATATAATATCCTTGACGCCCTCCCCGATCAGCTTTCTATATCGAAATGTTCAGATAATAGAGTCCCTCCTACGTGCATTAAATTATGCATGAACTAAATAACTTACATTCCCAAACTTGGTCTTCTCAGATACTGATGCGTGAAAAGCATAGACTGGATAGTAAATCAATTATGCAGAAAGGGCCTAAGGGCATTTGAAAGTTTACTAATGTTATATTTACCCAGTGTTATGGGCCCTCTGTGATACTAAATCTCCCCCTTGTCCTTCGCCCTGGGCCATGGCTCTTGACCATTAACTATGTACATTGTTGTTGTTTAACGCCGATATTCCAGATATATGGCGGTGGTCTGTAAATAATCGAGTCTGGACCAGACAATCCAGTGATCAACAGCATGAGCATCGATCTACGCAAATGGGTTACTATGACATGTGTCAACCAATACAGCGAGCCTGACCACCCGATTCCGTTAGTCGCCTCTAACGACAAGCATGGGTAGCTGTAAACCAATTCTAAACCGGGTTTTCACGGGTCTAACTGATCTTTAATGGGTTAGGTACGGGCTATTTATAACAAACGACGATTTTTACAAATGCATATTTTCTGTCTATCTGAACTTTATAGGCAAGAGAGTTGACGCAATCGCTTTAATGGCTTCTTACATCATTGACGTGTCATGTTCCAGAATTTTACTTGCAAATATCATCGTAAAACATTTATAGCGACTTTCAGAAAAAGAAGAGTCATGTCATATAATAAGATATTCGTATGACAGGTAAGTTCATAAAGAAACTAGTTGTTGATCTGTTTTGTCAAACGTGATAATGTGATGTTACAGATTTATAACTTGGAGTTCGACCTTCTGTTTTCTCATCACATTAGACTGCACATTAATGGCTGCAGTATTGATTATGCGGCAGTATTCACTCACTCACTCACTCACTCAGGTATGATTCACCCCAAGCAACTGAATGTTGTTCAAGGCCTCTGAGCATATATAGTTACATTTTAGATGACCATTATTCACATAAATAGGTTCGTATTAGTTCAAGGGGAAAATCTGACATCTTTGAATGAATAATGACATTAAACATAATAATTTATCAAGAATAGTTTTTGTCTCAGTCGAGATTTGACTTTTCGGGTGTGTTACCTAATGAATCCTTGTTGAGAAACCCGATAAGCGAGGTTTATAGCATTAGATGCCATTCTGAAGGACGTCTCAAGATCAGAGAAAACACAAATACACTCATAAACACATTTCTTTCTTTCAAGCTGTTCTACTCAGACGTGATCATTAAAACGTTCTGGAGGAAAATCGTTCTTCAGAACGATCAAACAGACTGTATTTTGAGAACTGCCAACATCAATTGTTATTTATACTTCATCTGACAATAGTCAACGTTTTTATTTCGCTCAAGTTAAGTTCGACAACCTTAAACAGTTCTCACACATCTGTGAATAATCTTTATCCAATTTGTACGTGTCGGCATCATCAGAACCTAGAATTGCGATCAAACAGAACCTTCTTTTTATGACCATGTGGGCGCCACTGACCCGATGGTCTTCAACGCTATAACTCGCTGTGCAGAGTTACGTCCCTTTGGCATGCTAGGAACCTGTGATCATTGGGCGGAGCTGAATTAAAAGTTAGACCTGATAATGTTTGTAGGTTTGTCCGTACCACGCCCGTGATCAGGGAATTCACCAAAGCGGCAAACGTCCAAGGACGGAATCACTGCGGGATTTGCTCTCACATCAAGGGTCTAGTTTGGGCAGCTCGAACAATGAAAAAAACTAAAACAAATAAATCCTATTCTTTTCACTCAAATGATATTCTGTAATTGTGTGTTAAAATTATACGTCACATCGGCAATAGTTCAGCCATAGACTGTGCCGTTCCACAAAGCTATCTAACCGCTGAAACGATGGTAAATCTGACTCGATTATTTACATATAGCTGGAATATTGCTGAGTTCGGCGTTAAACAACAAACAAACAAACAATCGAAATCCCACAAAGGAAACTTACGACAATCCTAGCGCTAAGATGGCTTTGTGGAACGGTGCCTAAACATGTCAACAGGAATCGAGTATCGTTGCTGGAAAATAATGCCTTTCCCCCAACGTTATTGGCCAAACGTAAGCCCGCATTGTTCCCTGACCATCAAGTCCTCAGTATGAAGAAACCGTATCCTTACTTAATAACCAGTAAGCACCCTTGCATTGCTAAATAACTCTGTTCCCACATCACATGAAAAAGATAATGAAAAGGAGCTTCTCCTTGTATGACACCCAACATCCATTGATTACGATCAAAAGTTTCCCTTGCTCTAAACCTCACCCAAAGCCTTCCAGATAACCTAAAGGTTCCCCTATATCAAAGTCAGACGCACAAGGCCAAACCCACGTTCACGTTCACCCTCACCCTCATCCCCACCCGAAACTTCGTACCCTCGTGCACTGTGCCAACAATACCCGTCGTGTTTCCGATTATGAGAAGACTAGTTGCGTTACAACCTAATATCGTTCGATGTTTCATTTGTGCAGGAAGATTTACGCTATCACCCAACACGAGACAACACAAGAATCTCTCAAGAATCACAGTTCCACATCACGGTATAGGTGCGCAAGCGGGCTTAGTACCAGTGTAAACAAACACGGGGATATACCTACACCTCAAGCGATAACAGCCTGTTCTGTTGATATACAATTTGGGCCAGAGCAGCTTCACTTTACAAACACGCTTCAAGTAGTCGACTATTTGCTTTCATTCTGTACTGTGGACCAAGGACTGTTTAGTGTCGCGCAGTCATCGCCATCGAGTAATTGACCATTGCCTGCTCTTTTGGTAGACAGGATCCCAGTCAAGATCAAAGAGTTGCCAGCATTGTGACCAACAGCCCAACACAAAACCGTTCCCCGATATTTACACATGTCCCTCTACATATAACCTTGAGTATACCCTAAATTCAATATAACACTAAACCGTTCCCCAACATTTACACATATTCCTCTACTTATTACGTTGAGTATACCCAAATCAAATCCAACACTAAACAGTTAGACATGTTCCTCCATTTATCGCCTTGAGTAAACCCCAAATCCAATATAACACTAAACCGTTCCCCGACATTAGACATGTTCCTCTATTTATTACCTTCAGTATACCCTAAATCCAATATAACAGTGAACCGTTCCCCGACACTTACACATGTTCCTCTACTTATTACCTTGAGTATACCCAAACAAATACGTCCCAACGACACCACCAAACGAGGAGGAACCGTCACGAGGTAGTTTAGACAGTTCAACAGTCGAAAAGACCGATTACTTTTGTAGAGAACAGTAATGATCATTTAGATGAAAAAATGGGATTTACCTTTCCACAATATCCGTTGCGCAAAGGTTGCCATTGTTTTAAAGGCTTCGTTCACGGGCTGACCAATCTGTGAGAAATCAAGGACATTGATTAAAGATAACTCTGGAGTTGTGACAGATTTATAGTCATCTTGGGTGATCTCTCCGTCTCCTCCATAAAACACGGGTAATGCGGGGTGACAGGGAGAGGGACACTGTTGATATCGTTTAGGGATGAAGCTGGAGGGGTTGTCATTGCTGCAGCGTTTGGCTGAGACATTTATCTCCACGCGCCATCAATTGTCGAGTTGATGACGTCAATTGGAACCGGTCCATGACCGTTGCGTTATAAGTTATAACGTCTGGTTATTGTCTCGGGAGCCCGCTACTGTTACAGTAATGGTTCGGTGTTGTGATATGTGGGCTTGCGTGGTGGACTCTACAGTGACAGATGTATCTGCCACGGGGTTCGGGCAGGAAAAGAATCAGCGATATTTGAAACTGTTGCGTGCTGTGCAGCGGTTTCCCTGCATCGCAGAGGGGAGCAGAACAACACAGGAAAAACATAACTGAATTAATGTTTGGATCTGATGAATGGCTTCTTCAGATGGCTACCATGTTACATCTCCATTCTTGCTTGACGAATGCCCAACCCCAGACCAATTAGCTGTAATATTCGCAGCAACAGCGTCGCTTTGAGTCCGATCCAAACAGCAGGATGATAAAAACAGCTGTCCAAACAAATTGGAGGAATTGTGTGCGAGCTTACATGGTAAAACATATAGGATGTGACGCTTGTACGGAACTTTGTTGTTTAACGCCACACTCAGCAATTTTCCAGCTATATGACGGCGGCTTGTAAATGTACGAAGCTGGCCAGATAGACCTCTGATATCAAGAGCAATGCCCCATGCGTTTGAACTACGGCTACATGCAATGGACCCAGCCTCCGAGCCTCATCCTCCGATTCATTAAGTTGCCTGTTTCAAGCATAGCTTGCGGGGGAGCACTCCAATGTGGATTCCCAAAGGGCATAAACATTGTAGGCCTCGGTTTTGTTACATAAAACATGAGCCGTGAATGTCAGCCACATACATAGTTGTGTGTATGATATAGCGCGATTCTGTGACTTTGCTTGAAATGGTAAAACTCGAGGGGCGAGAAGGGAGCTAACGGAGGAGCCGACGGGAGGAAAAGTAAGCTCCTCGAGGACAGAGAGCACAAGACCGAGCAAAAGCAAGACCCGAGCCAAGTGAAAGTAAGACCTGATTTGAGGAAGGTAAGACCTGATTTGAGGTAACGCAAGACATGATGGGAGGGAAAGCAAGACATGATGGGAGCTCAGGGAAAGCAAGACCTGATTTGAGGGAAAGCAAGTCCTGATGGAAGGGAAAGCAAGAACTGATTTGATGGAAAGGAAGACCTGATTTGATGGAAAGGAAGACCTGATTTGATGGAAAGCAAGACCTGATTTGAGGTAAAGCAAGACCTGATGGGAGGGAAAGCAAGACCTGATTTGAGGTAAAGCAAGACCTGATGGTGGGGAAAGCAAGACCTGATTTGAGGGAAAGAAGGACATGAGGGGAAGAAAGCCAGACTGAGGGGAGGGATAGCAAGACCTGAGGGGAAGGGTAGCAAGACCTGAGGGGTGGAAAGCATGACTGAGAGGAGTGATGAGCAGAACCATATGCATTAGTAGAGTCATATGAATATCAACTTCCGAAAACAATAGATGACGTCAACAGAGGTTTCAAATGACGGTGAATATTGATATTTTACATACCTCTGCGAACACAGACACGATAGCAATGCCGTACGGGGCTTGTAGAGCCTCTCGGAAGGAGGAGTAGATATCAGTGTTGTAAGCTACGAGTTGAATCTGAAAATGTAAATTGCAAGAATATAACACACCTTGATAGAGTTCGTATTCATTCATTCATTCACTTATTTATTTTCCTTTCTTTCTTTCTGTCTTTTATTCTTCCTTCGTTTGTTGAGGCACCTCATAACAATTCTAATGCAGAATATATTTCTAGTATATGAAATAGGGATTCACGCTGTACCTGGTTGATTTTCTGTTAATCATACTTGTCAAGACTCTGTACTTTTCAAGCTATGGCTACCAAAGGGACAGCGAACTAGCAGGGGTTCAGACTCGCTGACCCAATATCCCATATACTGTCTTCATATCCCAATTGTGTAGATCGATGCTCATGCTGTTGATCACTGGATTGTCTGGTCCAGACTCATTATTTACAGACCGCTGCCATATAGCTGGAATATTGCTGAGTGCGGCGTAAAACTAAACTCACTTACTCACTCACTCATTCATGAAACTCGGTGAAATCTACAAGTCAGGCGGACAGTACGTGTTGCGTTTATGAGTGTCACTGTCATTGACAGAAGAACTTCTCAGCTGATGAGTAATTTGATAACGTTGACTTTAAAACTGATTGACAGACAATTGCGTTTTTTTTAATTCAGTTAGTTTCTATTAGATATGAGGTCTTGAAGGATAATGTAACCGAACCAGAGACAGACTTCACCTTTGATCGGCATCCTGCTGCTGTAAGTGTAGATACAGTTAAAATACGTTTTAGGATGACGACGCCATTGGAGACCAGTTTATTTTATATGGAAAGGTTTCTGATGGATTTATTTTTCAAAATTGAAAAATAGACGTGAGTGTTATGTAGGTAATTTAACGGTGTGTACAATAACCTTTTTAAAATTTAACCATGCTGTCGATTGTGAATGAGTAAACATCGAGAAATCTGTCAAAATATCTTTCAAGCCTGGAATCATTATGGAGGTCGCTAGTTTCAAACTTGTGAAACAGAGAGTGAGTGAGTATGCTTTTACGTGATTTTTAGCAATATTCCACCAATGCCAGTGCGTCGGACACCCGAAAATGGAATCGAACTCGGGTCTTCGGCGTAACGAGCGAACGGCTTAACCACTATGCTACCCAAACTACCCTGAAAGTTGTTCCGTAAAGTTCGGGACAGTCAATGGTAGTAGGTCAAAGATTGATGTGATAGGATGTCCTCGGATCCTAGTTTAGTGTTTCAAGAATACCAGCAATGTGAGTTTAGATTTACGCCGCATTCAGCAACATTCCAGCTATATGGTGGAGCAGGAATGTAACGACTATGTAGTAAAACAACACTCACTTACTGTAATAAGGTCTACTATTGTCCAACCGACGATATCATGCTTTGATAAAAAACAAGTTTGTCTCATATAACACGTATAATCCAAAATAGTTAAACTTCTCATGTAACGTTGAGGTTACAGAAATTCTGCACCATACATGGCCTGGCTGTAAACGTATTACAGCTAATCGCGTATATACTCAAGGAAATAAATAAAGGAACACGTAGTAAAATATCATGAGAGCCGGAAAAAAATTGGCCTTCGAAATCAGAGGTTTCAAATCACATTGCCACAAGTGTCCTGTCCCCACAAGGCAATATATATCTCCCATTGCATTATAACACATAATGATTTGTTTCTGGAATCTCTGCACGTCTACACATCAGTCGTATTTCAAAATCAACAACTAGATTTTCTGGTCCATTATTCACTTGGTTGTCTCTTTTCTTCACAGACGGCCGTCGCACTGCGAGTTTTTTGCCTGTAAGCATTTACTTTTTTAAAGTGAGTGAGTGAGTTCCGATTTTAAGTGACATCGGCAGTATTTGGCAAATGGCCTCTACTTGTGACTGTATAATGAAATGTGGAAATCTGACATTTGTTTCAATGATGAGAACGAAAGTAAACTTGATGTAAACATGGTTAATTGATGTAATTGAAGTGAGTCGGGAGGTGCATCGCTGTTTTTGGGACAAAATGGCATTGAGGATAAATATATGCACGTACAACCTAACACATGTGACCCTCTTTCACCCTCCATTGCAACTCAGATGAGAGTCCCGCACGGTCCCCATCAAGGTGACCTAACTTTGGTCGCTTGCGATCTCTAGCCCCTTTCCGTATTGTATTGTGAACTGATAGTTTATTTATAATTCTCTCAAACTTGTTTTAAATATATATGATTATCTAGTTACTACACGGTTCTTCGAGTGAGTGAGATGGGTTTTACGCCACTTTTAGCAATATTCCAGCAATATCACGGCTGGGAACCAGAAATGGGCTTCACACAATGTACATGTGGGGAATCGAACCCAGGCCTTCGGCGTGACGAGCGAACACTTTAACCACGGGGATACACCACCTGTCCCCTCTGTTCTTCGACGTCAGGATGTTATCCAGACTAAATATGTTTATTTTGTATGTACAGGTTTGTCTCGTTAAGATATAGCTGAAACATTGCCGATGTGACATTAAATTTTAACTCACTCACTCAGACGAGACCTAAGTGCACGGATCTAAACATACTCACAATACTCCCCATGTTTCAGCCCCTAAGCCATAGCTATACAGGCCGACATGTAACACACTGCAAAAACGTTTAAATTCTGAATAATCAAATCAGTTGTGAAATCAAATTACTATTTCACAACATATTTCAACTGCATGCCGTTCGCATTTCACTATTCAGAACCGTGATGTTTCAATTTGTTTTTGCAGTCTGAAGAAGCAGATGTAATGGTTAACTCGCAGAAGTACAGATGCACTTTAAGTGCATTAGCCCTATTTGTAAAATCCCCCAATGTAGATTGGTCCCCTGTGCTGGATGTAAAAGCCGACGGGAAAGAAGATTTAATTGTCCGTTGATGTAAAGTAGCTTCACGATGGTTTAACATCCCAACAAAAATAAAGCCACAAGCGCTGTAGCTCACCTGAATTCCTGTGGAATAATATTTCAGACAACCAAAACACAAGTTGGTATTTATAACATATTACAGTATTATATGTCTATTTAAAATTGGTATGACGTAGTACTACTCACGAAACATACCACCTATCAAATTTCATAAATTGCTGAAGAATAGAGGGAACCGCATTTTCAATATGGCCGAAGTGGACGCCATGTTCAGTTTGTGGAAGCACGTATTGGTTCATTATCATCCTCATCATACCATCATCGTCGTCATCATCATCAGCAGCAGCATCAACAGCAGCATAGTGATCATCACCATCGTCATCATCATCGACAACATATAAATATTTAAGTACGCCTAAAGGGTATTCTGGAACAATAGGTTTAAGTGATATTTACATTTTAGGTATTAGACAGATTTGCCCAGACTAAATGTGTATCCGTCTCTGATTGCCTGTACGAGTGGATTTCTCACAAATAATATATAATACGTAGAATATTAACGTCGGTAAACATATTAAGCTTAATACATCGTGTCGACTCATGATGAATTGGAATTTCAAAAGTAGCATTTAATAATTTTATGGATGTCGGTTTCAGTATGAAAACTAGTGATTCAGGTTGGAGATCACCATTTTTTCAATAATGTTTAATATAAAAAAACCGCTATGTAATCTCTAAGCAATGGCCGCTGAAATAGTATCTAAGTGTGCTTCTACTCATAAACTGGCAACTTGAAGCAAGCAGCCACACTCGCACACGTGCAAGCACGTCTTTTATGTAAGTGCAATAATCTTGATCGCGGCGTTTAACGTTAATAATTGGACATACCTGTGGCTAAGACATTATCGTTCATGTAGGAAATTTTGTTTGTTGAAAAGCCGCTCTCAGATTTATTTGTTTGCTTGTTTCTTTGTTGTTTAACGCTGCACTCAGCAATATTCCAGCGACATGGCGGTGGTTTGTAAATAATCGAGTCAGGACAAAACAACCCACTAACTGACATCATGAGCATCGATCTGCGCAACTGAGATACGATGACACGTGTCAACCAAGTCAGCGAGCCTGACCACCTTATCCTGTTAGTCGCCTCTTACGACAAGCACGGGTTACTGAAGGCCAATTGTAACCCGGATCTTCACAGGTAGTTGGACGTAACGCACCCAGATACAAACATATCAAACCTACCATTTAGTCTTTCTATGTGTCCCTGATCTATCACGTCTGTCACGTTGAAACAGTTCAACACTCAAAATGTCAAAATGACCCTTTCGCTGCCAAATGTCACCATGTTCTTTAAACATATACAGTTAATCAAACTATGTTTTCCCAGACATTTATGTTGAGTGCCAGATTTCGTAGCAAGAAATTTTACAGATGAGTCTGCAGTTTTCCTTCTTGATAAATTGTATTTATTCTGCTGGTAAAAAGCGGCGTACGTGATTGGGATATGTTATAGAAAGACTTCAAGTGAACCTGACACTGAAATATCATGTTGGAATCTTTTCATGTAAAATCTACGAAAGACTACGTCAAAAATACAGGCGGGTTTCTTTTTGTCAAAGATGCTGGCTAGCCAAATACATGTAGAAGATGGGAACTCTTTCTAATGTGAAATAACACCTCTTTGATAAACCTTATTATTAGTCGTTCATGTTTCTTCATGATTTGTTTTGTTAACTTTGCTACCACTCCGTCCGGAGAATTGAACCGGGGCTTTGGTGTGGCGTACGAACACTTTAACCACTTGGCTACCCGTCACCCAAATGAAACAGAACAGGTACGAGATCGTTTATATAGTACCATCGCCACTTTTAGCAGTAGTCAGGCAATATCACGGCGATCGACACATCACATGGGCTTTATACGTTTTAGCTGGGAATCGAACCCGAACCATCGGCGTGACGAGCGAACGCTTAAACCACTAAACCACCGCAATCTCCTAATTTGACTGTATCTAGAAAACAGAGCTATAAAAATCCTTCCGATCATAGTCAATATTTCAATAAAATCGATTTTGAATGTTAACATCTGCATATCTATGTGTATACTTCAAATGATAAGCTAAGCAACATTTAATATAATATTAAATTTTGCTGTTCTAAATTTGCCCTGACTTTCAAGGAAATATGTTCCAGGCGATAAAGGAAGATCCGTACATTGAGTTGTAGTAATCATATACTGAAACGAAAAAGAAAGTGTCCCGAGTTTGTTTTGCTATCTAATTGAAACTCGAAAAACTGTTTTTGAAATTGATTATGTATTCTATTTAGACGTAATTCATTTATGAGGCAATTTGTAAAAAGTCATCTGTGGTTTGGCAATTTCGTGTAAAAATAAATTGGTTCAATGAAAACCTGAGTAAGAAATACATCTGCAACCATTTGGCTCCTACCAAGGTTTGTTTCAGATAAAATTTATCGATTTTCAAAACTTTTCAAAAGATGTGTATTCCACTAGCTTTTTATTTTTCAAAGTTTCACATCAAATTCTATTTAAAAAAGAATAGAATCAACTGGAATGCTGGCTACATGTCAGTGCTTGTAATATTTTACGTAATATCGCTAACTTAAGATGTTCTCAACTGAACACAAAGCACATGACCAAATCAGCTGAGAGGTATAGTTTATTTCCCAATCTGTAAGTTAATACCTTCAGCTGGGGCATTTTTAAAGTTGAGAAACACTGATGACAATCCCAAAATCAATATATTATGGTATTATGCAGTGACTTGTAAAATAAAAGAATTGTTGAGCAATGCCTTAAGACAAATTCATACGTTGTTTAAGCCAAAATGTATAAGATAATATCTTTCAGTATTACTGAACGCCAGGCAGCGGTGTTCTAGATCTACCAAGCTGCGCCCCCGGATGTGAGAAACCAATGCAACGAATGTGGCACTAGGTAACATTGATCGGATGAAATTCGGGTTTAATATAAATTTGATCATCCTCGTACTTGGAGTGCTTGTCGGATTTGACAAAAAAAAGAGGATTGATATCGTTGCTGGTCAGAAAAACCTGAGAAAGAAAAGCTGGGAAACATGGCGTATTTTATAAGGGCTCGCGAAGACCCGGGTTGAATAGGTCTTCAGCAACACATGCTTGTCGTAAGAGGCAACTAACGGGATCGGATGGTCAGGCTCGCTGACTTCGTCTATTGCGTAGTTAGATGCTCATGATGTTCATTATTTGATTGTCTGGTCCACATTCGATGATTAATACAGCCCGTCGTCAAATAGCTGGAATATTGCTGGTTACGGCGTTAAATAACTACACAAAACACAAAGGCTTCTTCCCAAGAACAGCGAAAGATTCTAAATCGTGCACGTATCACCTGACGTCACAGCTCTGCCAAAACTTCAGCTTCGGCTTGAGAAATCTGCAATAGAATCTTATGTCTGTCTTCACAGATTATCATTATCAGGTAGATGTCTGTTTTCTTGGGTGTCCTGTCAACCAGAATACACAGGTGTGTTGTTTTAAAAGCATACACTTCTACCTTGACAAACTCATGGTCCTTGATGATGAGATGATGATGATGATGATGACGATGACGATGACGATGATGATGATGATGACGATGATGATGATGACGATGCCTTAACCAGCTCATTTGGGGATTGAGCTTTAAATGAAAATTGCCCACAAGTGTGCTTTGTGATGAATCAGTCGAATAACATTCAATGTTCACAGTGGGTGAATGTGATGTGTGTTTTAACATTGAAATCGCAGGAAATGTTAATGTGTGAGTGAGTGAATCAGGTTTAAAACCGCTTTGAACATTATTTCAGTTACAGTTTCCACCACACCTAATCAGATCCCGTAGTTTAACAAGCACCTTTCGTAGGGAGCCTTCAGTGCAGACAGAAGCATTAGGCAGCTGTGATTGGGTGATTTTGTGTAAGAATTTTGTTTTTCTATAAACGTTCATCCATCCACTACTTAACAATGACCATATTTTCAATATTTAGTGATATCTTTTTTAACACAATGAATTCTGCTAAATATGTGCAGAGATATTTTCAAAAAGGTGACATTTGGTTGGTGTAGGTGTGATTACGGAAAAGGAATTGGTTAACCGAGCCAAAAGTTGTGGCTTTAAGTCCATACTCTGCTTATATGTACATGCACATGGACACTGTAGCTGGGGAAACAAAACAACTCCTGCATACATTTCTAATTTTTGTTCTTTATTACAACTCTACATTTGTACAAAAATATATAAATATGACAGAAAACGCGACATGCATACATTATGTTACAATGTTGAAGTGTGGCGCCAGCACGGTCATACTGCATCCTGGTCTTCCGTCAGACATCAAGGGACGGGTTTACTGGAAAACAGAAGGGGTCAGGTTAAAACTGAGTTTATACAGTCTGTAATTTTACTTGTCAACTCAGTATGGTATCACAAGGAGTTCTTAAATTTATAAATGTTTTCAAATGTAACCAATTGTTAATGACTTTGATGCTATTCAAGCTGAAAATAGAAACCATTTATTGTTTACTAATTTAATCTACTCTTACATTATTTCTGAGGTTTTCTGCACACAATAAAAGACATTTCAAGATACATATTCCCCAAGATGAAAAGATTCTATTGCACTGAAAAAACTTTTACGGATTTTCTCCTGCGAAGTGGCATTGTAAAAACAACCCCACCTAACTGCATTAAACGATATTCGTCGATGTATTTGGTGGATATTCCCAGTGGAAGTATTTTTAAATGTTAGCACCTTGATTTGAAACGGCAAAAATAAGTTTCTTTCTATTTTAAATCGAGCGATACGACCTAACCTTGACAGTGATGAAAACAAAAGAGCTGGTGTCAATCATATCAACCTAACAAATCAGTATCATAGCGTGTACAAATATTGAGTCGGCATAAAAGACGCCATCAAGTTTCAAGCGTTAGGTTAATCTTTGGCAGTATTTTGTTTGTTGTGCAACACCGCACTCAGCAATATACCAGCTATATGGGGACAGTCTATAAATAACATGAACATTGTTCAACACAATTAGGATACGATGACATGTGTCAACAAAGTCAGCGAGCCTGACCACCTGATCCCATCAGTCGCCTCTTACAACAAGCAAGGGTTGCTGAAGACCAAATCTAGCCCGGATCTTCAAAGGTCCTAAGGCAGTAACTGACGACATTGAAAACACGTGTTGACAAATATTAACAGTCACTGATTAACAGTATCGTGAGGATCCGTCTTGTAACTGGTCTTCAGCAACCCATGCTTGTGTAGACTGACGGGGTGGTCTGGCTTGCTGACTTGGATTATGCATGTCCTTGAATCCCAGTTACGGGGATCGAGGCTCATGATGTCAGTCACTGGATTGTCTGGTCCAGACTCGATCACTGACAACATACAGCTGTTATACTGCTGATTGTGGAATTAAAACAATCTGCAAACAAACCCGAATGTGGGAAAACCAAACGTTCCAAATATAAATAACACTCACTTTGATAAAACGTGTATCGTGTCATCCCACATATGTTGCTTGTGCTCTGAAAAGAAGAAAAACAGTCATTTTAATACTTGAATGAAACAAGTAGCTTTATGCCACAAGAGTTAACAAACATTAGTTGTCCGGTAAACGGTTTCGACCAGACCTGAACCCCCAGATCTGCATAACCCGTGCAGTCGATAACAACAGGGCTGAAGGTATGCCGCCAATCCACCTGACACATTGACGAATACACGGAGAGCACGAACCCCACGTGCACAGTCTCGCGCCACCGGAAACACCTGTTCCATGGTCCTTGTTTCGTTGCACACGAAACACTAACTGTCAGAAATGGCAGTGTTCGCGGTTTTCTTTTGCTTTGTTTGGTTTCACATCA